ATATATATATATATATATATATATATATATATATATATATACATATAATCATATAAAAATATGTACAAAGTAACTGCACCCTAAAAAACCAGCATAATTACAGTAATAGAATAATTATATAGGTTTTAATAAAAAAAATGATAAAGGTTTGTGAAAAAATAAATTAAAGTTTTCTTAATATACAATAATTGCTATAATTAACGATATTAATACATATTTCATTTTTTATCAAGTTTATCTTTTCATATATGTCTTATATAAAATAAAGTATAATGTCTTGGCTATATCTACTCATTGAATGAGACAATAAATTTTTTGAGGTAAATTGTGTAAACTAAAATCATAGTGCTGTGTAATAGGTACTGAGGTTAAGTTAAAATTAAGTAATATAAAATATCTACCCTGTATAGGGTGGCAGTTATAGAGGTATATTTATTTGACTAGAGTCGCCGTACAATATAATTAATACTTTATTTATGTATAGCCAATACTATCAAATTGATATTTAAATGATATTTAAAAAATTATTGCAAATGAAATGAAATAATACTATTTTTCTTATCATTTAGTAAAGGTACAAGTTTGAATGAAAAAATTTTATGCATTAAACGTAGTACATATGAGTAACAATATGTTATGTACTTAACCAAAATATCGCTAGAATAATATAGTAAAGAAATAAATTATATTTCTAAATCAACATATACAATAATTTATAAGACAAATAAGTAATTTTTAAAAAATTTGTAATCAAAATAGCCTCAAATTCAAAATATTTTTTCAAATATAAATCATTATACTCTAAATGTAACATTTACAATACTTGTCTTTCACTATCTGTAGTCTAAAAATAACAGTGTTTATTGCTTTGTACTTCAATACTGTGTAATTCATCTTTTGAAGTTAATAAAATGCTTAGATAACAGCACGGCGACTCTATTTTTTTTTATAAACTTTAAAACTTATCACATCTTTCTTCTCTCTCTTTATACAATTAGTCATATTATTATCATAAATATTATCATACCAATTTAACACCAATATGTTTCAATTCATTTTAAATTTAGTGAATGTTATCTTATAAACTGAAAACTTTTTATATAAGGTACGAATTAATATAAATAAGATTTGCATAAAGAAAATTACATTCATAGCAAATAAAACAATATCGCGCTTAACAAATACAGTACATTATGCTGCTAAAAAATAAAAATACTTTATAATACATTGATTAAGATTTGTGTACAATTAAACTAAAATTAATATTTTTTAAAGTGACACAGATGTAACATTTACTATCAAATATTTTGTCGCCATATTAATTATTATATCTTTTTTTCCTTTATTAATTTTTTTGATCTGTTATTTTTTTTCCTTAAAAATAATACCATTTTCTTTACAATATTCATAATTTAAATTTCGTTAATATTAGAAAATTGTACAAGCTTAATAATTAACATATACATACAGTGCAAAAAATATTTTAAAAATTAATGCAAAAAAGAAAACGAATTCATGAGCGATCAATTACTAGTTGCCTATATATCAATTAATTATATATCAATTCTCGTTTTTTATTTAGCTCTAAGAGTAACGTATGAACATATCTTCAACAAATATAAAAGTATACTACTATATGTGAATAACATAAAATGTAACAAGTTGTGTTAAATATGATAACAAATGGAAAACAAATTATTTAAATAAAAATCACAAAACAAGCATTCTATCAGTGAAATGTATCTATGTATCATAACAACATAATTTTTCAAGAATAAATAATTAAAATAATTTATGTTAATAAAATTGAGATTCTAATAATTGTGATCATAGAATATGTAACAAATTCATAAATGGTGTTTAAATGAAATTATCTTTCATAAAACTATAATCAGATCTTGTAAAATTTTTTAACAATTTTAGTACTGAGTTTTCATAAAAATAAATCATGAATTAAATTTAAAAAAGTTCAGATATATAATATAAAAAATCTCTATTCATAGCAACATCAATATCCGAGGAGATATCATTTCAACACAAAGCAGAATTGAAAATGACTTTAAATTATATGTTTAACAAATTATTTTGTACAAAAATGTACTCTGCATAATAAATATATGATAAAATCTCTAGCATGTGCAGCTTGAATTAATTCTATTTTTACATGATTTCATACTGTGCTTGTAATGACTATATTATTGCATAAATTCAGTGTAATATGATCATTTAAAATAGTACTGAATGTAAAATGTAATAAATAACAATTAATGGAGGTACACAATAATAATAACATGACATATCTACGTCTCACTCTAAAAGATATAGCTTATACTATCAGGTACTGTGTTGTGGGTTTTTCTGTCATGGTAACATGCACCAGTCTGGAATATGTATTTATAGTTTTCTTTCATTTTTACTTTTTGCTTTGTATGATGTAGTTAACTTTAAATGTCTTGTACAACATAAAAGACTTATCTTTATTATGTGAACAGGAAAAAATATAATATTATATATTTTCAATTATTATATTAATATTTGAATAATTTGAATTGTTTTATTTATTTTCTTTTTTAGATATTTTTTATATATATTAAAAAAATTTAATGATTTTTTTAAAAAATTTTATTTTTTCCTGTTCTTATAATTTTTAATAGCATATACTACAATTATCAATATTTAGTATAAAAAGATTCTATTAAATTAATATGGACATTTCAATTACTTTTTTTTAAAAATGTTTGATATCTTATTTTTTTTAATAGAATAAATATTACCAAGATTCGTAATGCTACATATATAATTATATTATTTGTAATAAAAGAAAAAACTTAAGACTATACTTTTCATACATAAAATCTGATTAGTATTTTTCTTAAAACCTAAGAATTTTTTGTTAATTTAGATATAGTTAATAGAAAATTTAAGATTTTGGAATGATCAATACTATATTGCTTTTTTAAAAAGCAATATATATCGTGAAATAGATTAGGCCATACCCGTAATATTTAGATATTCAATAATTTTGTTTTCTAGTGTAAGGAATGTATTGTTTATGTCTTTCACTAATATTCAAAACATGATATTTTATGAACATATTTATAATTAATATGTCCCATATATTAATATATCAGGAATTTTGATATTATTCCATTTGCTTGATTTCCAATTTTACATTTTTTTTTTTTTAATAAATATCATCTCAATATATATATGAGCAAGTTGTATAATGAATATTATTAAGTATCATTAGCATGATATATCTGTGCCATGGTATTATTTTACAAAATCAAATCTAAAAATTATTAGATTTTTCTTGTCAAAATGTTAACATAGAAATACTGTTGTCAATATTACTAATTTGCTTTGAAACATTATATACAAGATAATAGTCAAAAGATTCAATGCACTTTTAAACTATTATTATTTACAATAATCTGAATGCATTAGTATTTTTATTTACAAGTTATGCCGTATTAAACTTGTAAAATATAGTAACTTGCATTACTTCATTAAGAATTTTGTTCTTGTAATTCATACATACATTTGTATGTATATTTTTTCATTTGTATATATTCATATTTTTTAATCAAATAATTCAAGTTGCATGAAAATTTTTACATCCTACCTGTAGCACGGGAGCATAGGTGGAAAACATGAACACGCAATTATATTGCCTAATGTTTTTTTTCATCCATTTGGTCCAAGCGTCGGAACAGATATACACATAGATTTTGATAAGGATGTATCTCCATCTGGACAACCAGAATTATTATTTAAGCTGCTATTACTACTTTTTAAAGTACAATTGACCATTGTGAGTTGCGTGCCATCTAAATCTTGTTCTTGATCCTGCTTCTGTTCATCCAAGACAACATTGTCCATTATTTTGTACTATATTTTAAAAAATATATTAGTTTTATATATTACAATAATTTTGTATTATTTAAAATACCTCAGTAAAATACCTGAGAATTTTTTGTTGTATGAATATCTTTTGATTCACCATTTATTTCCCATGATGGTAACAAAGGTTCTTTTACGCAAGATTCAAGAATACCATTAGATTTTCCACCCTATAATGATGTATATTTTTTTTTACAGAAATTTAATACTATGTTATATGTATTACAAATATATTTTTACATACTTTAGTGTCTAAATGAGGATTAGTAATTGGAGATGTGGGACAAAGAACAGCAAGTTCAATCTCATTAGGTACCACTCTACTATTTATCTGTTGACTTACTGATGTAGACATTTGATCTGTACAACATCTATTTCGTACTGAAGTTCGATTTTTTGTAGATTGTGCTGTTTCTCTTAAAATACGAGCATTTTCACATTTTTTTCGACAATATATACTGCATAGACAAATTTTAATAAATCCAATACTTATGCTTACACCAAGAATTACACCTGAAAATAAATAAATATGAAATATTGGATAAAAATGAAATTGGTAAAAAAAAATTCTTCGTTTTTTTATTTTGTTAATTTTTTCTTCTGATTGATAGATGATGACAGATTTTAAAACAAAATTCAGTTTTGAGATTAATGTTCTATTATATCAATAGAAATTAATTTAATGAATTAATTATTTTCTATATTAATTAGTTTTAAAATATTCATTTTTCAATATGATGACAAAATTAAAGAATAATAAAGAAAAATAAATATCTCTCATATCCCTCATATTTTTTCGATTTAGTGGATTATTATTTTTCCGATGTTTAAAAATTTTTTTTATCTAAATAAATAAGTACTCACCAAGACTTTGATCAGATCTTATATTTTGTGATGGTTTTTGTGGATTTGGTGGATTTGATGAACCACCAGTAAGGATTATTATAGGATCTGATAATTTACCATAACCAGCTTTTGTCATAGCCTGTACCATAACAAAATATCGTTTGCCTGGAATTAATCCAGGTAAAGTTGTTGAAGTTTTATTACCAGGTACTGTCACATTTTTCCATGATTTAATTGAATCCATTAAGTCCATGGTATATATAATGAAATAATTTTGTATAATACCATTTATATTACTTGGTTCTTTCCATGCAATTCGTATTTTTGTATTATTTATTAAAAACCATTGTACTTCTTCTACTTTGCCAGGGACTGAAATAAATTATTAGTTAAAAATTACTATGATATTATTTGTTTAATGATTTTATAAATAAATATAATATATATATAATTTCACTTACTATCTTCATTTGTATAGCATTCTACAGATTCACTATAAAAATTGCTTTGGTTTGTATTATTTTCAATGGCTCTTACTTTAAATTGATATAATGTAAATGGTTTTAATTTATCCACATTTGCTTTCGTATCATTTCTATAAAAAATATATTAAAAATAATTTAATTTTAAAAGAAATTAATTTAAATAATTTTAATAATGAGAGAAAAATCAATTTGTTACATACAATATA